GGCTTACTATTCCTAGACTGTGTCGGCTCCATCCGTTGCATGCAGCGCGCATGCACAAGTTTCCCATGATCGAATCAGCATTAAGAACGCCACAGCCATGCAATTGAAGACGCGAGCCACAGGCCGCGTCCGACAACTGCATATGCATCAGATTGGTGTTCAGGCGAGTATGATTGCTCAGCTGCAATAATGTAGATAAGATAAGAATGATGGCTTTTAATACTTTCAGGTACAAGAATACTGCAGCTAGTCACGTGACGTAAACTTCGGAGCCGTCCTTGACAATGCTACGATCTAATGCGGCATTCGGTATCCAGATGATTGATAGATTTCTAGATTCTCAACTAAATTGCGATTCGATTTGGGTCGCAGTGACATTGCTAAGCTCGACTTCAAAAAGGGATCGAAGAAAACCTCGTTGATCATGCTAGATCTACAAGTAGCTACGTCAACATGTTTTGATCCCCGCACAACCTGCAACCTCTATCTCCACCGCAAGAAGATCCCTTGAAGTTTGACAAAGGACTCGATGAGACATCTGGACGGTACTCCTTTCCATAGAAGTTTGCCAAACTTCTATCGAGTTTCACCAAACCAACGGAATTCGACGTCTGATCGCGGGCCGGACAAGACAACATATCATCAAGTCCTTGCGTGAGGCGTATTTCCTGACGGTTCCAGGTGTTCCCGATGTGAGGCTAAGTACGCCAAAAGGTGGTACGAAGCGAAGTAGAACAGGGACGAACGACGGCCGGTTCCGTTTGTTTCAGGAACATGTCCAGCTTGAACGCCAGGTTAACGGAGCTCTGGTGGAAACATTGATTCCAATTGGGAAGCGAGATCGTTCTGGAGGGACTGAAACCCGGAAACTGATGGAGAGGAGGCCCAGCATGAGCCGGGCGATTCAGACACAAAGAATCCTTTCCAGGGTATAAGCATTTCGAGGATTCCGCTCGCTGCATAGGCCAAGGGTGCCAGGTATTAGTATGGTACGAAGTAGGACAAGGACGAGCCGGCAGCCAGATATATTGTCAAATGGATCCGCCCAAGTCTGGTTGTTGGACGCGTAACGTGCACCTTTTCAGCCAGCCCACATTCATCTAGAGTTAAGCTTCGAAATTGCGTGTCCGCTCGAGTCGTTCTACACCTCCTGGCGCCGGAACCCCGGAAATTGCCGTCTCCTGAGGTGCGTCCTGACAAATGCGTCATGCAAGGCTTTCCTGGTCCCCCGGGTCCGTTCGGTTTGTCGTAAGCTTGTCGCTTTTGATGAGTCTCCAGGAACGCGACGCTTTAAAACGGCTCCCACTCACGCTGGACGTAATGTGCAATCTGGTCCGCCCTCAGGGGGGTTACCTCGAAAGCGCCTGACGCAGACCAGGAAGCACAGCTCGAGACCAGGCTTAAGAGCAAAGACGAAGCGCCCGGGTGATACGAAGAAGCGCCCGGGTCAAACAAGGAAGCGTCCTCTGTCGGCAATGAAGCGCGGGATAAAGGAGAAGCGCCCGGGTCAGGGAAGAAGCGCCCAAGATTTAAGGAAAAAGCGCCCGGGTTACACGAATGAAGCGCCCGGGATTGAAGAAAAGCGCCCGGGTCGAATGAGAAAGCGCCCGATCAAACGAAGAAGCACCCGATCAAACGAAGAAGCACCCGGGTCAAACCAAGAAGCGCCCGCTGTCGATTAAAAAGCCCCCGGGGTCGACGAACCGCTCGGGTTCCTGCTTCGCCAAAGCCTTCATCATCAAACATATGACCCCGGTTGCCAATCCAATCCTCTCCACCCGTTTCTCTACCACCTCCGCCTTGCACTTGTTCCTAACACCAGGTTTGGCCGCAAGCCACGGCCCCGGACGCTCACAAACATGGTTTTCAACCGTCGTCCGCAGGAGCGGCCCCCTCCGTCCGGCGTCCGTGTCCCCGGCCTCATCTCCCGACAGCCAGCGCTTCCACCGCGCACCGCTCTCGTTTCGGGGGAGTACTTTTGCGGGCCTCCCCGAATCCCCAGCCAACTAGGAAAACCTGACTTCGAGTTGGCCAGAGCATCCACATGCTCTGGGCGAGCATCTTCTCAGGGGCTCGTAGCGCGGCTGACGCCGGCGGCTGACGTCGGGCTGAGTCCTGAGGGAAGGAACGGAGGACCTTGAAAACGGTCGGCGAGAGGTGGTCGTGGTCGCTTGCGAGCGCAGAGAAAAGCGTGCCCTTCAAACTGCACAGAGGATTGGCAATCGGGGTTGGATCTTTCTTCCCCAACAACGTCGGTGGTGTGAACCAGTATGTGCTAAAGCTCCATTGCTCTAAGTGGTCTGAATGACGGATTCTCTTGGACGTTTTGAGAAGACTCACACTTACAAGCGCAAGCAGATAGAAATCGTTGTCTATGTCAGGAAGTCATCAAAGTCACCATCAGTTCTGGGCCAGGAAGTCATCAAAGTCACCATCAGTTCTGGGCATATGCCAATCGCTTCAGCAGCTGACATAAAAGTAGAGGGGCCGGAGCAACAGTGCCTGTGGCTCTGCTTTGCACTCCTTTCTGCAAGCAAGTTTGCGAGCGCCATTTCGGAATCAACCAACACACGGAGAAGTGCAAAGAACAAACAGAGACGGCCCATATCGCTCCGTTTTCGCACGCGTCTGTTGATAAGTTCGATACCCAAACGTATCTGGTCGTGCAGATGACCGAAGGACAGAAGCCACGGCGCCTTAGTGGCCAGGAATGAGGGGCGCACCAGGATTCGCGTCAAGTCCGGCCAGGTCACGCCGTACTTCTGGCTATGTCCGTCAACTGAGGAACGCCAAGTAGATTCTTCTTCCGCAGCAACTCGATGTGCTCCTGAGGAACAGCGCCTCTCCGCTTGCGGCGGCTCCCAACCTTCTAGGAGACGAACTGGAGAAGAAAGTCGGGAGAAGGTTGGGACCTTCGAACGGGTATGATATGACGAGAAAGAGCCTCCAACGAGATTTCTGATGCCTGTAAAAGGTTCGCAAACCTCGCCAGCTTGTAGTGAAGACGAGAAGCAAATGGCTGCATCTTTGCCCAAGGTATGTGAGCGGCGGCAGTCCGTCGGCCGGGATGACGAACCTGCACAATTAATCCACCTCCGCGCACAAGCACTGACACGAGTGTGAAATGAGGACGCACGCAGATGATGTAACTTATACGGATCAATCTATCTGCAGAAGTCGCAAGAGTCAGGTGAGCACTGGCGGATACCCAGGCGTCGGTCGAGCGTACATCACTGCGGAGGTCCACTGGGGTCCGAGATGAGAAGCTGAGCGTGTCCAAATACGTGCAGAGTATATAAGTATCGTCGTTCCCCCAGTAAGATGTTTACTGGATCCATTTCAGTCACACCAATGACACAGTCGAGGCGGGTCCCAGTTCTAGGTTGAAGGTCTTGTTTTTGAGTGTCATCCTTGCTGTCGCAATTGCGCAACGGAGTAGAAAAGGGATGAACATCTATAGTCCATAGAGACTCAAGAAGAACCGCTCATAAAGGCTAAAGCAGGCCGCTGCCTTACCAGCGATGCTCGTCTTGGATCCGGGGGCATTCCGCTCCATCTCGTGGGTTTGCTTGCGGAAGCCGAATCGAAGGTAAGAATCGAGAAACACATGGCGCAGGCTTCGTCCTAAAGCAACTGCATGCACAGGAGGCAGAAACATTGTGTCGGTCTGACTCCAGCTTGCGCCCGGACGGACTTTGAAAGCGAGTGACCCATGGTCTGATTTACGGCGTTTGAAGTGCCCAGATTCAGCGATTTTGAGATGTACAAGTTGCGTGGTGCCGCTCGTGCGGAAGTGCGCCTATCGCACCGCTGACGAAGCGCGGAGCGGAGGCAAAATTGTGGGTTGAATATGCTTTTGAGCAGATCAAAGCAAAAGGCGTCGAGTGTCACTATCGGTCCCACTGCCTAAGGTGCCGAATGTCAATTCGGTCCCTCTGCCTCGCCGAGCTTTCAAGATACCTGCTGAGAACGGGCAAACGAGATCTCAATTTATTCACTGCGGAAGAGACGGAATCAAACAGCGCCAAGACAGGACGCGTTTCAACCTCACCGTGTTCTTCAGCAGTTTCGACAAAATTGAAGCGTCTTCTCAGCCAAAAACCCCTCCACGTCGTCATGTGGCAGATACATTTCAGTCAGGCCCAGCCCTGCCCCCCCCAAAGGCGTCCCATGTCCTACCCCCCTGCTTCGATGGCGACGTGGCCGGCGAGTGCCCTTCCCGCGCTGTAGGGGGGTGGGACTCCCCTCTCCCCTTTTCCTGTTTGCACTCAAGCGGACGCCGACCGCTGGCCCCCAAAATGACAAACAGTATGAACATTCCGCAGAGGCACCGTGACCTCGGGCGGAAAGACCGGACTCTTCCACACCGAAGTCGGAAGTTTGGCCGCGCTGGGCCTAGCCACAGGGTACTTCGATGGGGCGCCTTTTCCTAGTGGCCCGCCACTTGACTACTCCCCGAAGATCAAAAGCTTGTTCTCTGGTATCCTTAATCTTTCCCACTGTGCTCGCACAATGCTGCCCGCCTAGCTGCGGACCCCTGCGACCTCCCCATTCTCCCTGTTCCATCCTACTCCCTAACCCTAGTGTGTGATACTCAGCGTACAACCTGATCTTCAACTTGTATCCATCATATCGAGACGAACTTTTGAGCTTTTACATAATGAAGACGTGGATGCCAATCTGCATCGCAACAAATAGCATCTCAAGCGAAGCGTGTATGCAGACAGTCCATGAGATACCATGAGTAGCCCGTTCGTGCATCGTACTCTCCAGCTGCAAAGCAAAGACGGTGCGTTTTGAGTCTTTTGATTGGTGTTGGACGGACCGTTCGCTGCACCAGATAACTAGATAAACAGTCCCCACAAAAGTTCAACAGTCGAGGTCATTCGCAGGCTGGCATCCGGAACTAGCTTGAAGAACTAGCTTCTGAAATCTTCAACGCAGATATAATTATGGACAATCTGCAGACGGTCCTGCAGACGATGCAATTCTCCGCATTCTCAATGGAGCTCTTCTTCAACGTTGTATGTGAATCAAGTGTTCATGAAGACTGGAGCTTGCATATTCCTTGGCGAAGGGAGGCACGTTCTGGGATACGTCAATTTCGATCGCATGATCTGTCAGGTTTTGGTGGCGGAGATTTTCACGGATTCTAGAACCAAGTGCTTGGATAGTTTGATTGCTCGGGAGGATCACTCCAGGCTGAAGGCCAATCAGACGTACCGAACTTCTCAGATCGACCCTTCAGGCAACTATTTGCTTCCAATGGCGGGGCTTCATTTGTTCAGGGGGACCGTCACGGCAGTCAGAGAACATGCTTGTTGCTTTGTTGCCAAGTCAACTTCATCGATTTGAAAGGATCCTGCAAACTTCACAAATCTTCCCAAGACGAAACTGCTCTTTTCTTCTTTCAACAATCGATACGGACATCATAAACATCTGTTCTGGAAAGTCTAGCGCTCTTTTTAGCTTCCTTGAAAAGCTTGAAGTATCTTGGACGTGACCCAAGTGCGCCAGGCCTTCTCTCCTGGCAGTGCTTCCGCTCTGCAATCCGCGACATCGTCTCATTGTGAGTCACTTTTTCAATTCGTCACAGTTTTTACCTTTGACAGGGTCCTCCTATGGTCACATCACACCATGCAGGTTTCCACACCCACTGGCATTCAAAGCATTTGATGACGTGACCACATAATGTTGGTGCTTGATGCCAAAAGTGCCGCCTGCGTTTCTTTCCGTTCGTGCGTGTCTTGAGGTGCGCGTTGAGTCGTATGTTTTCATCTACTGGAAGTTTGGCTGCATGGTGTCTGAATACGTACCCTAAGGCCGTGTACATCCCCGAGCGGAGTCAGACATGGGGCCAAACAGGTGCGCATATATTCAGCTCCAGAAAAGTGGCGGACGCAATGAAGTAGACCCCTGTTGGGGCTGGACCGGAGCGAGTTGTAAACGGTCTCTGCACGAGTTTCTGCGAAGTGGAACCGTTCTTATGAACCGACTCCTGCTTTCTAAAAGCGGCCTCGAATTGGGGCCCAGGTTCCGATTGGTCCGCCACTTTTTAAGGTGCGATTACCAGTTTTGGCACGGTGTGGTTTTGTTCTGGAGCCTTGAAGTCAATGAAGATGCTTGTCCAAGTCTAAGGAGATCGCCAGATCGCTGCCACGAGACTTTACAACGAAGCTTAATACAACTTTCTCGCGAAGCTTTAATCTCAAGTTAAAATGATAGGGTCCATGATTGGGTCGTGATTGATCTTTTCCAAACACCTCAGGCTCACGCCTCCTAGACCCTCGGCCAATCATCGGATGAGTCTCGAGAGACTTTTAGCTAGTGTCCCAGATTTCAGAAGCTCAGTGGCCTGATGTTTCAAGGACTGACGGGACTTCAGCTCGCCTTTGAATCTGGTGTGGAGGGGGTGTGGAGGTGTGAACGACAGCTTGCTTATACGAAAATCAGCTTCCTAGTCCAACTAAATTACATCCAGTTGTAGTCCACGTTCGTGCAACGACGTGAGA